AAACCATGAAAATCCCTTCTAATAGATCTGTCTGTTATCCGCAGAATTACCATTCCAGCAATATGAATAATAAAAAAGCTTCCTCAAGAATATACGTCCTTTTTTTTTTCTTTCTTTGGTGGAAGGTTCTTCCTTGATGTTTTTATTCAGCCCTCATATTATGCCCAACCTCATAACTTCAGATCTGATTCACACTTAAGTGATTTGAGAGTACGACATTTAAAAATAAATGTTCAGGATGATTCTTTTGGCTGCTCTGAATTCATGGTGGTTTACTGGCCGTTTTTCCCTCTGAAAATCACTCACTCAGAGTCACTCCACATTCACACTGATGCTGTCAGTGAGCACATCCCTCCTAAATGGTCTAAAGACCTCAACAATCAAGTTAAGGTGTGCAACAAACAAACAAACAAACAAACAAACAAACTGAGCATGCACACTGAGGAAGTCTTCTCCAAAGGCATCCAAGGACGAGCCAAAATGTCAAAATGTCAAAGCTTCATCGTCAAAAAGGTACGACCAAACAAGACGAGTGCATTCCACAGTCTTTCAACTGCACGCAGTGCATACGTGCCAGGAGTTGAAGAGTTGATGCATTTTTCATTTCAGTTCACAGAAGCCGGATTTGGAATATTAAGCTATCAAGTTGTAGCAGGGGTAAATATTGTCACGTTGATGGCCTATCAATAAACCCCAAATCAGGCTATCCACTAACAGAGGAGATGAGAGATTGGACTTGTTTACTCGGACAGGGGCCCCAGAAATAATTAGGAGGGAGATTTGTTGGACGATTTTCTCAGGGGGGGGGCAAGTGTTATCTACTCCACTCCATCAGTGTTTAAACCATGCTCTCACTCCACTCCCTGGTCGCATCTTGGTAATTGACAGTGGGTGACCCGGCCTATTTGTCACTAACAAGCACTTGTCCAGGGGCAGGATGGATTGCTGCCTTCCTGTAACATATGTTTGAAGAGAGCGAGCGCAGATGAGAAATGCCATAAAATTTTAATGGCTGAACCTGTCGGAATGGCAAAATGCACAGCTGAGGTTTGGGCCCGCTTCTCTGAAACTTCAGCGGTTCTTGAGATGTGATTAAGAAAGAGGGAGAATTAAGCACTGAAGCAGTGAACAGCAGCGTGTTAAGCTGTTTCAGCTTTGTTTAAGCAGCTTACAGCTGAGCCCTGTCGCAGACAGAGCATAATTTATCACCTCGCAACAGGTCTTTTTCACCCAATATTGCTATTTAATTCGATCACTGAGCCAGTTCAGTATTTCCAACCGCTATGGTCTTTCAGGAACTATGGAGTATGACTGCTCTGATAGGACAGACGATGGCGCAAGTGTGTTGCTGTTCCGGAGTAGCCTCATATTGGGCATGCGCTGTTGGAATATTGAATTGGCTCAGAGTGTATCATGTTTTGTATGAAATATCAGATCCAGCCAAATTGATGAAAATCAACATTAGCAAAATTCAATTCCCATATTATGGAATGCTGATGAATACTCCCTCAGCTTTGTAACTTGTTCATTTGACAACTCCATCTTAGCCCAATACTTTAATTCTCTAAGTAAATTTGGAAACTTGCAAATATTATGTTTAAACAACTGCCACTGGTCAGACAGAAATGACAACGGATGAGGAGAGTTGGCCAAAGTTAATATGAACCTTTGAATCCTAAAAAAGGGATTTTTTTTTACTAAAAATAAATTACTGGTTGTTCTAATAACAAAGGTAACCAAATTACTGATGAATAATTAAAGAAAGGGGCCTACTGGAAAAAAGTCATGGGCCAACACTTTGTCACTGGAGGATTATTCTGAGAGGGTCCTTATTTGTGTAAGATTGCGCAGTGACTGCCTCATGATGTACTCAGCTATGAAAGTGAAATGGGCTGGGGGGGGAATGCCCTCGAGAGAACGTTCAAAAACAAGTAATGTTTATACGTTTCTTGAAAGTGATGAAAAGAGAAGGGCAAGGTTCTTGCACAGCTCTGCATAAGAAGGAAGGGGGGAGGTGGGTTTGGGGCTGACAGCCATCAACCATTAACTCATCATCCGTCTACTCGCTCCAATGTCATCTGGCTCCAACCCCCCAACTTTTTATAGGCAAATGAATTTCATCGCAGATCTTTCCTGAATTATCAAGCATCCATACTTTTTTTAAAATCATGTCCTCAAAAACAGATCGATTTCCCGCACGTAACCAGGTTACTCTTGATGATGTGTTCCCCCCCCCCCAGCAACGTGGAGGATTTCCTTTTCTCCTGAGATCCATCTCTTCTCTCGGAGGAAATACAGATTCTGCCAAAAGCTTCAAAAATTGACAGCAACCCTGAGCAGTTCTTGACTCGCAGAGGATAAGGTAACAAGCCTCAAAAGCTTGCGCTCTCTCTTGTAAGAAAATCCCGGCATCTCATGCTGTCTCCATTCACACACTGATCGCGCTCTGCTGCCGCACGGCAATCACGGTCTCCTTTTGATTTCTCAAGCTAACTGGGCCACCTTTGTAATTCTGCACCCAAGGGAAGGGGGGGGACAGCAGATTTCTTCTAAAATGTATTTAATCATCATTAATAACTAGTTACTAATATGGTGCCCTTTGATTTTTTGCCTTCAGCGCCTTGCTATAGCAACATTTTACCTCAAATTTCATAAGAAGTGAAATATCATGAAGTTCTCAGTATTCTGGCTCACAATTCTGGAGTTTACAAACCTGCTTTTACCCTAACACTCCTCAGTCCTCCAACAGGTGAAGGATTGAGGAGGGTTAGGGTTAAAGCTCCCTTTAAAAGTTCCCTGCTTTAAAGTCCTTTTGTCTTTTCAGTGTAAAGTAAACTCTTTTACAATGCACCCACAACAAGAAAATCGTTTTCTTTCAAACTTGTAAAGTGGAGGTAAATAATGATTTATTGGAATTTATCAACTTGAAGAACTTCTTAAAATCTTAATGCGGGATTTTCAGAGACTTGTTCAATTGTGCTACATGTACATTAAAACACTCAGCTGAATTCATGCCCAACTTCTAGACGCCACTGTTTGACTAAATTTCATGACACTGAAACTGTTCACATGGGTTGCGTAATTTGTATTACAAAGGCAATAGTTTTCCACACAATGGTTTGGCAACACTAGATGAGGAAAGACAAGGGAAACAAAGTGCGGTGCATTGTATGGCACAAAGTACATTCCTTTAACTGACCACTCAAGACAAACAAACACTGATTCTGGATACCCTGGGTATCCCCTAAGATAAGTGTCTCCAGGAAGATCGCATCATCTGAGATGGAGAGGATGAGATTATTATTCCAAGGCTTGTTTTTCCTATGGTGGGGCGCGGGTGGTTGGGTGACTCAGGGACGTCAGCACCCACTGGCGATCCACGCACTGCTGAAGTCACGCATGGGATAGTCTTGCTCAGCCATCTTTGGAGTGGAGGGGGGGAGGACAGAGGGGACGAGAATGACATACTAAGTGATGAGGTTTGATGTCTCTCAAGTTTGGCTTTCTGTTTGTGGGTTTTTTTTTCCCTCCGGATGTGATGGGAGAACAGTATCGACAGAACCCGAGGAGTTTGCTTGGTTTGCTTATGACAACAGGGGACTGACAGCGTCAGCGTCACCTGGCAGATTGGAACGAAGTAACAAAAACATTGGCTCAGAAGCAACAAAAAAAAAAGAAAGGAAGAAAAATTTATCACACCAACCAGCTTCAACTTAATGTGCATGGATGTAAGTTTTCAGCGGATAATTTCTTCTCTCAAAAAGAAAAGGAAGAAAAGAAAAAAAAAGTGATTGTGCACAGGGAGCTGTAAGCAAA